TGAAAACAATAAGTAGATGGGATCTTCAGATGAGAGAACAGGCAGTGTCCTTAGGAAAGTAGTTAAAGGAAAGTCCTCACTTGACAATGGGGAAGGAATGAAACCCTAGTTAACCCTTCAAACAACATCCCTTAATGACCTGTCCACAAAGTCTTCATGTATGACCTCTTCCAATACAGCATACTCTAACATCAAAGTGCTTCAATGAGAGTTGCCTGAAAAGAAATCAAAACAGAGAACTCATGTGAATGTGAACTGGCCCAGCAAAGTATAATAGGACGTTCAAACCAACCAGCTGTTCCTCAGAAACCCTATACAGGATCTCTGTGAGTCAGAACCGACTGGATGGCATTTTAACAGCATATGATCAAATACAAGTTAGTTCATTGAATTCATTCATTGAATTAGATGGTGTTGAATTATACCTCCAACAAATCAAAGTAATGCTATTTTACTAGAATGTTCTACTAGAATAGTACAAAGGAAAAGGAACCTTTTGAAAACTCACTTTTTGTCCTACCTTTCTTTGTTTATTAATGGTTTCTTTTATAATCAAAAAGGAAACAAAATAAACCATGTGTTTTCCGATATAAAAATAACAATTGATGCTTTCATTACAGAATGTTGTGTTTTCTTTAGTAACTTATACAGGATGTATTTGTCAGACTCTACCCCAGATCCCTGTCTGCCTTCAAATGTTTCACCCATTCTTTTGGTCCCCTCACTTCTTTACCTTGCAATTTAGTCAAGAAATAAGTAATGATACCCTTGACAAGCAGAATCATTTCTAATAATTGCCAATACTGAAAATGGCCTAAAGATAAAACTCTGGATTGAAAGACTCTCTTGTCCCATCCCTCACTTCCTCCCCCTTACCTCTTTGCCACCTCTTACACAGATAGAAGTCATCATTACCACACCTTTTACATCTTCTGGAGGAAAAATGGGCTAAAAGGAGCTCACTTTCAGTTGTAACTGCCAGGTTTCGGAGAAACATGATCTTGATCTTCCATTGCATTAGGCAGATCTACTGCACAAGACCTCCTGAAAGTGTTCGAGAACAAAGACATCAGTTTGAGGACTAAGGTGCACCTGACTCGAACCATGGTATTTTCAGTAGCCTCATATGCATGTGAAAGTTGGACAGTAAATAAGGAAGACTGAAGAAGAATTGATGCATTTTAGTTGTGGTGTTGGAGAAAAATATTGACTATACCACGGACTGCCGGAAGAACTAACAAGTCTGTGGTGAAAGACGTACAGCCAGAGTGTGTCTTAAAAGCCAGAATGGTGAGACTTTGTCCCTCATACTTCGGACATGCTATCAGGAGGGGCCAGTCCCTGAAGAAAGACATGCTTGCTAAAGTGAAGGGTTAGTGAAAAAGAGGAAGAACCCCGACCCCCCAAACAAGATGGATTGGCACAGTGACAACAGCAATGGGCTCAAGCGTAGCAACAATTCTGAGGATGGTGCAGAACCAGGCAGTATTTTATTCAGTTATGCATTGGGTCACTATGAGTCGGAACCAATTTGATGGCACCTAGCAACAACAATTCTTCATTGTAAAGTTGTGACTCAGAACAGACCCTGATTATTCACTTCACAGGGAAGAGAGAGAGAGAGAGGTGATGAAAGACATAAGGTAGCTACATTAAATAAAAAAATAAATAAATGAACTTTAAGTTGCCATCCAGTCAGTGCAAACTGATGTTGACCCCATGTGCTTCTGAGTAGTCCTGCATTCCGTAGAGTCTTCAACCAGCAGTAGATCACCAGATCTTTATTCTGGGTGCCTCTGGATACAGGCAAACCTCCAGTCTTGTGATTAGTATCTGAGCACTTAGCTGTTTTACACCATCCAGAGACTCCCAAGATGGATGCATAACAACCTATGATGGATCAATGAGCCTACTAAGCAGTCTTCACACTTTAAATAGCTAAAAATCTTCAAGACTGAACTCTGGGACTGGGTAAATAATTTCTTTTTGTTGTATTTTTCAGGTATTCAAACTCGTGTCCTTGATGTTACAAAGAAGAAGCAAATCGATCAATTTGCCAATGAAGTGGAAAGACTTGATGTTCTCTTTAATGTTGCTGGGTAATTCTTAGTGTTTAATTTCACTTTTTTTAAATCATTTTGATGACTTTTATTAAACGAATGGAACAAAGTTATTTATTGTGAGCCATATTAAGAAATTTGACTAGCTGTCTGAGAGCATTTTCATTACAGATAAGAATCACAGAAGCTGACACAGGCTTAGAGCCTAAAGTTCTATTCATGACAATAAGTACTAATACAAAACAATTGATCTTTTCAAGGCAAGTAATATCAATGCTGCAAACAAAGTTACTGCTGAGGGTCACCTGTTAATGTTGTGTGCTGTCCAGTCAATTCTGACATATGGTAACCCTATGGGACAAAGTAGAACTGTCCCTGGAATTCCCTAATGTGTAATCTTTATAGGCTTTTCCTCCCATCGAGCCGCTAAAAATCTGAGTCACCAGCCTTTTGATTAGCAACGAATACTAAATCATTGGGTCACCAAGTCTCCTCGAAGATTCCCTAGGACTTATAAAATAAAATGAAACACTCTTTCCAGCAGAATTTTATAAGAAGCAAAGTGCTCAATTTAATTCAATGCTCCCAATTGTTGTCAAAGTTAATTGCTGCTGTTGAGTCAATTCCAATTTATAGCAGCCCTCTGTAAAGTTTCCAAGATTGTCAATCTACAGGAACAGACAACCTCATCTTTCTACCACAGAACACTGTTGGGTTTGAACTGCTGACCTTGCAATTAACAACCCAACACTTAACTCACTGTGCCACCAGGACTTCTACAGCAGTACTTGTTGTTAAGTGCCACTGAGTCAGTTTTGACTCATAGCAACCCTATATAAGGATTCCAAGGAGTGGCTGAGGGGTTTGACCCACGGACCTTGCAGTTAGCGGTTCAGTACTTATCCTACAGCGCCACTCCAGGATTTCACAATACTAGCAAGTCCTTTACATCTATGCTCAGTTTCCTCTTGGGATAGTAAATTCCAGCAAAAGAAGTTTCCATGTTGCACCTTGCTAGAGAGCACAAAGAGAATGACTTAACTGAACGTATTGGGGTGACACCATATTTGCTGAATCCTGCATGAATTACTGGCAATGAAACTGGAGCAATTACAGGTAGACACAGGTGGACTGCTAGTATTTAGTCTCCATCTCACGTGTGATAGTAGCAGTGAGCAGTGTCGAGGCTTACAGAGGAATTAATTAAATACATTCTCACGTGCCACTTTGCTTATATAGTGTTACATCTGTACTGCTGCACTGATTTAAAAAAATATATAGTCTTCTAATATATTTTTTTCCTAACCATGTTAAAGACAGGAAAAAAGAATCTCAATCTATCCATATGTTACCATGTTTTACAATGTGTGGAAATTAAAGCAACAGTTTATGATGATCTAGTTTATATAAATAGCCTGCTCATCCCTCCTATGAGGAGTCCCTGATTGATATATACAGTTAACACATTCTACTGCTAACAGAAGAAGGCCTGGTAATCTACTTCCAAAAAATCAGCTACTGTAAACCCTGTGGAGAGAGTTCTACTATGACACACACAGGATCACTTAGAGTCGACTAGAAGGAAAACCCATGGAAATTTTGTTAGCAATAGTTTTTGCGCTTCTGTTCATTTTTAAGCAGTGTGTTGTTGTTGTTGTTAAGTGCCGTCGAGTCGGTTCCGACCCATAGCGACCCTGTACAGGGTTTCCGAGGGTGTAAATCTTTACGGGAGTAGAAAGCCTCATCTTTCTCCCGCGGAGCGGCTGGTAGTTTCGAACCGCTGACCTTAAGGTTCGCAGCCCGATTCGTAACCACTATGCTACCAGAGCTCCATAGGGGAAATAAATATATGGTAGGCTATTATTTCTATCATGGAGTCCTGGTGTGGTGCTGTGGGCTAATGCACCAGACTGCAAAGCCATTTGAACTGCAAAGTCGGTGGTTCAAGCTCACCAGCTGCTCCTCGGAAACCCTATACAGGGTCGCTATGGATCGGCGTTGACTCAATGACACTTAACAACAACAACATTATTTCTGTCAGGAAATTGAGGTTCTGATTCAAACTGACCTTGTGGTCCTGTGCTTATGCTACATACAGAGCCACAGCAGGACTCCAATACATGGAAATCACACAAAAAAATATTTGATAATTAATTGCCTAATTTTGGTCCAGAGGACATCAATAAGTGTTTAGAACACTTTCCTGAGGAAGTGTGACTTGAAAAAGAGGAAAGGTTACTTTAAAGGTTTCATTTAGGTCTGTTACAGCTATGTTGTTGTTGTTGATAAGTGCCGAACAGATCTAACCCATAGCAACCCTTTATAGGGTTTTCCGGGAGCAGCTAGTGGATCTGAACCACAGATCTTGTGGTTAACAGCAGGTGATTATCCTACAGTGACACCATGTTGTAGCTACCCTGTATAGGATTTCCAAGGAGTGGCTAGTGGGTTTGAACCGCCGACCTTATGGTTCAAACCTACCTTGAGGTCCAGTGCTTATCCTACAGCGCCACTATACAGTGGCAATTGTGGAGTTGCGGAGTCCTGGTGTGGCTCCGTAGGCTAATGCGCTGGACTGCAATGTCGTTTTGAATCGCAACGTTGGCGGTTCAAGTTCACCAGCTGCTCCTTAGAAACCCTATACAGGGTTGCTATGAGTCGGAACCGACTCGACAGCACTTAACAACAACACAAAACAACTCAGATGTTGAGACACTTCTTTTCCTTACTGTTTTGATTTCCCTTGAGAATGTTAAATCTGAACCACCAGAGGGCACTGTTGCTCTTGAAATGGAAATGACAGGGCATGCGCTGCCTGCTTATAAGTTTATTTTTCATGGTATTGATGTTTCTCCTGCCCTTGGTATAGAGTTTTTATGTTTTGTTGTTGTTGTTGTTACCTGCCATCAAATCATCTCCTACTCATAGTGATGCTAGGCACAAGAGAACTGCCCAGTCCTGCACCATAATCACAATTGTTATTTTGAGCCCATTGTGTAGCCACTGTGTCAATACATCTTATTAAAGGTCTTCCTCTTTTTCACTGACCCTCAACCAAGAATGATAAGGACTAGTCCCTTCTGATAATATGTCCTATAATTCCTCTTCTCATATTATTCGCTCAGCATACATATTGAATAACTTTAATGAAAGGACAATCCTGACGCATACCTTTCCTAGTTTTTAACAATTCAGTATCCCTTTGTTCTGTTAGAACCACTGCCTCTTGGTCTATGTACAAGTACATCATGAACACAGGTAAGTGTTCTGAAATACTCATTCTTCTCAATGTGATCCACAAATGTAGTCAGTTTGGTTCCTTTGTATTTGATTCGGAGAGTTACAGGCGTATGTTGTTGAAAATGTTTTTTGTAGTGAAGAAATCATTGGTCTTGCAAAATTAAATCATGCAATCTCCAGCATTGCTTCTATCACTAAGGCCATATTTTCCAACAGCTGATCCTTCCTCTTTGTTTCCAACCTTTGTATTCCAATTGCCAGTAATTATCAATACATCTTGATTGCATGCTTGATCAATTAAAAACTGAAGAAGTTGTAGAATTCTTTGACTTTATCATCACTGGTTTTAGTGGTTGGTGTGTAATATGAATAATAATCATTTCCCTTTTGGTTTTCTAGTTCCTGGTCTTTACACATTTAATTATAATATTTTACACTGTCTTCTCGAGTTGTCCTTTGAAATTTTCCATTCAGCTTTTACTTCATCCTTTTTGCCATTCATTTTTGTTAATTTCCAGTCAAGATCAAGGTTCGGAGTCTCTTCAGTAATCCACTTTGGTCTTTTCTTTCTTTCCTATCTTTTTAATGACCTTTTGCTTTGTTAGTGTACGATGTTCTTGATGTCATTTCACAACTCCTTTGGTCTTTGGTCACAAGTGTCTAATACATTAAATCTTCTCTCGAGATGGTCTCTAAATTCAGGTAGGATATACTCAAGGTCATATTTTGAGTCTAATGAACTCATTTGAATTTTTTGCGGCTTCAGCTTGAACTTGCATATGAGCAATTGGTGTTTACACAGTCAGCCCCTGGCCTTGTTTTGGCTGGTAACTTTGAGGTTTCCATCATCTCTTTCCACAGATGTAGTCAGTTTTATTCTGGCAAGGTCCATGTGTATAGTTGCCTTTCATGTTGTTGGAAAAAGATATTTGCAATGAATAAGTCATGGGTCTTGCAAAATTCTATCACGTAACTCCATATCGTTTCTATCACCAAGACCATATTTTCCAACTTTTGCATTCCAATCACCAGTAGTTATCAATGCATCTTGATTGCATATTTAATCGATTTCAAATGTGAAAAAATTGGTAGAATTCTTCAATTTCTTCATCACTGGATTTCGTGGTTGATGTGTAAATTTGAATAATAGCTGCATTAACTGGTCTTCCTTAAGGTGTATGGATATTATCCAATCACATATAGCATTGTACTTTAAAGATCTTGAAATGTTCTTTTTGATGAAGACTGTGACACCAATTCTCATTAATTTGTCATTCCCAGCAGAGTAAACCATATGATTGTCAGATTCAAAATGCCCAGTACCTGTCAATTTCAATTTACTAATGCCTCGAATATTGACCTTTTATGTGTTCCATTTCATATTTGGTAATTTCCAATTTTCCTACATGTATACTTTATATACATCCGATTATTAATGGATATTTGCAGCTTTTTTTTTTCTGTCTCAAGAAATATTTCATTTTCAAATAAAACTTTTTAGCTTAATTTGTTAGAATATCTACAAATCTCATATGGTGGGGCTTCAAAAAGTTCATGGAAAAATTCAGTTCTTTTTCATTCTATTTTTTCATAAGCTTTTTGAGGCCTTAGTGGATTACGAGTTGGGATGCTAACCACAAGGTCAGCAATTCGAATCTACCAACCACTCCACAGGAGACAGATGAGGCTTTCTGCTCTGGTAAAGATTTACAGCCTTGGAAACCCTATATAAGGTCACTATTAGTCAGAACCGACTCACTGGCACACAACCACCGCCAGTATACTAAGTGGTACTATGTTTGAATTGTTAAAAATCTTGGTGAGAGAAAAGAATAATTGCCTAAGTCAATAAGAAAATGTAATAGAAATGTTTCAAGTGATCATTTTCCCCCAACTGTTATATCTCTTCCAGCTTTGTTCACCATGGAACCATTCTGGACTGTGAGGAGAGAGACTGGGACTTTTCAATGAACCTCAATGTCCGCAGCATGTACCTGATGATAAAGGCGTTCCTTCCTAAAGTAAGATGCTCATAACTACTAGAGAAGTACCACATTAGGTGTCCACACTGAGCACCCAGGAAGGGTCCCTACATATACGTGTAGTGTTGATAGCTGGCCTATTGACCAACATAGATCAAACAATTATGTCAAGTATTAACAGCAGCTAGCATAGCAACTAACATGGATTGAACATTTATATCATGGCATTGTATATAAATGAACTCATCTATGGCTATGTGCTCAGCTGCTAACTGAAATGTTGGTAGTTCGAACCCACTCATCTTATTCTGGAAGCTCCACTGAAGCATGTTCAGCAGTATGACTATAGGCAAGCCTCTGCTGATAGAGGTGGTGGGTGCGCATGTGATACAAATGGAAATCGAACCTGGGTCTCACACATGGAAGACAAGATTCCTACCACTGTACTCATTAAATTGAACTGTGCCCTTCCATATGGAAGGCAGTCATTCTGCCGCTGTGCCCCCTGAATTTTCCAGTCTTCACACAACAGCTCATCAATGTTTATAATTTTAGTTTACAGTCAAACATTAAGCACTTTTGGGTATAAATCACTCTACTCGGTGCTCTGGTGGTACAGTATTTAAACACTCAGCTGGTAACCAAAAGTTCAGCAGTTCGAACCTACTATCTGCTCTGTGGGAGAAAGATATGTCATTCTGCCTCTGGAAATACCATGGAGCAGTTCTACTCCGTCATGTAAGGTCGCTAAAAGTCAAAATCAATTTATCTAAAAATGAGGATGGCAGATTGCACAATCCTTTTAAACCAGGATAGTCTGTTGTTGTTGTTGTTAAGTGCCGTCAAGGTCAAGTCGGTTTCGACCCATAGCGACCTTGAACAGGGTTTCCGAGGCTGTAAATCTTTACGGGAGCAGATCGCCTCATCTTTCTCCCGCTGAGCAGCTGGTAGTTCTAGGATCCTCTGAATCATTAACCATAATGTACATATGCCAGATTAGGACTTTCCAGAGGAAGCCAGGATTTGGAGTCTGGGCAACTCTGAAAGATCAGGTGGTCAAACACAGGAACACTTATAGGAAATTCTTGTTCATGGATAGAAACACGGAAATCCATTCCAGGGTTGGAAGACAAGTCAAAAGGTATAGAACAAGTTGAAAATACTATAAAAAGAGATCAAAGAAGGTCCATTAGCGCAAGAATTTGAGATCTTTACTTTTTCTTTCTTTGTTCCTGCCTGCCTGCCTGTCTGCCTTTCTTCCTCTCTCCCTTTCTCTTTTTCTCTGTCTCTATTTCTGTCCTTTTTTAATGTATTCCCAGACTTAGAATACTCCTTAGCTCATAGGGGTGCTCCACTAACATTTGTTAATAGATAAGCAAGTCTAGAGTGTCAAACCAGATAGAGACAGGCATGGGAACACTGGAGATCCAAGTCAATGGGGAAAGAAGAGCTGGGTCAAAGTAGGAATAGGTGAAGACAGCTAGTGGGATTCTACAGATCTCTCTCTGGTGGTAGTGGTGATTATGTACTGTGGAGTTGGGGAGCAGAAAGCCTCATCTTTCTCCTGTGGGACAGCTGGTAGCTTTGAACTGTTGTCCCTTAGTGGCCTGATTCGTAACCACTACACTACCAGAGCTCCTTACAGAGATCTCTCTGTAGACCCCACTTTTTTACATATATGAGAATGATCTCTCAGAAACTCAGGGATGACTTTCTGAGAGATCATTCTCATATAGGATAAAAAAGAATAATTTTAAGCTTTATGTTTTGTTTTGTTTTTAACTTTTTATTGTGAATTGAGTGAAGGTTAACAGACAAGATCACCAGCTTTACATTCAATAATGTATATGCTTTGTTTCATATCAATGATTACAATTCCCTCCTTGTGGCTTCCCTTTTACATTTTATATTTCACAAATGAACAAAGCAAAACTAGTTGATAGACACATAAAAAAAAAACAAAAAATATACATTCATTTAAATATTCCAAGGGCACATTCTGCAAGCACACAGTTTTATTCAGTACATGGGACTAGAACCTGCAGCTACTCTATCCCTCCATGCCATTTCCTCTGCCACCATCTCTACTGTCATCATTGTCTAGATAGGATCTCATGCTCCACTCATGCTTTTCCTTCTTGATGGTCTTGAGATTGTCTGTTCCTGAAATGAAAAATTAATTACTTCCGCATATTAGTTACACATCTTCTATAATTACAGTTGTGACATGCATGATTCCTGCTAACAATTACTCACAATTGAATCATAAACCCTATCAGCATCATCTCCCATCCCCTTTAACCAAATCCATCTGGAAAAGAGGAACACTGTTCAATGGGGATTCTACCTTACCCCGCTCATTCTGAAACTAAGCATATTCATGAAGTTTTGTAAGCCAGCCATTTACATGCCTTTATGTGGTGGTTGTTATGTGCCATGGAGTCGATTCTGACTCATAGCAACCCTGTATAGGGTTTTCGAGGCTGTAAATCTTTATGGGAGCAGAAGGCCTCCTCTTTCTTCTGTGGAAGAGCTGGTAGTTTCAAACTGCTGACCTTGCAATTTACAGCCCATATAGCCCCCCATTTTTCATAGCCAATGTCTAAATTGCCCTTCCCTATCAACCCAAAGACTTCATTCTTTTGGGATCAACTATCAACACTCAAGGAAGCAGCAGTCAAGAGATCAGACGACGTATTGCATTAGGCAAATCTGCTGCACAAGACCTTTTTAAAGTGTTGAAGAGCAAAGATGTCAGCTTGAGGACTAAGGTGCGCTGACCCAAGCCATGGTATTTTCAATAACCTCATATAGATGTGAAAGCTGGACAGTGAATAAGGAAGACTATAGAGGAATTGATGCCTTTGAATTATGGTGTTGGAAGAGAATACTAAAAGTGCCATGTGCTGCCAAAAGAACCAATAGATCTGTTTTGGAAGAAGTGCAGCCAGAGTGCTCCTTAGAGGCCAAGATGGCCAAACTTCGTCTCTTATACTTTGGAGACATATTGTCAGGAGGGAACAGTCGCTGGAGAGGGATATCATGTTTGGTAAGATGGAGGGTCAGAGAAAAAGAGGAAGACTCCCAATGAGATGGATTGGCCACGTGGCAGCATCGTTGGATTCAAGCGTGGCAACAGTAGTGAGGTTGACCCAGGATCAGACATTGTTTCGTTCTGCTGTTCATAAGGTCACTATGAGTCGGTGCCAACTCGATGGCACCTAACAACAACAACAATCAACCCAGTGCACTGAAGAAACAAGCTTGTTTCTTGATATGAAGAGTCATTCCATTCCAGTTGAAATTTTGAGCAACTGCATCCATAAGCAAATGTCCAGTTTATCAAATTGTTGCCCTGTACTCTTGCTTACAGTATCTAGCATCTTTATCTTCATCTATTGAGTTCTGATCAGCTAGCCATCCAAGCTAGGTCAAATGGGTACTAGCAGCAAATTTGGTAGTTCACACACACCTCCCTGTACTTCAGACCAGCTTCTAGGCCCCAGTGGCTAGGTCAGTGCCCATGGGTTCAGGAGTTCAAACATGTCTCTAAACTTCAGACCAGCCAGTCCTTCCTTTTCTCTCTCTTATCTCAAGGTCAATGGGTGTTAATGGAACAAGGCCAAACTCAGCCCATGTCTTCATTGCTGCATTTCCCCCATTTCCACTCACAAGCAGATCCAGGTGATCACCACTGAGCATACTAGATTGCTCATAAGTTCCCTTGTAGTTTTAGTCTTAGAAGAGTTTTTTTTCTTAATAAGCTGACTTTTCTTGCCTTGATGCTTCTAAAGCAAACAGTTTGCTTGATATTCTAACAAAGAGTCCTACTTGTTTTCTGCATGTCTTTCTTTCAATAAGATTCTTTAAGCTTTAGCTTTAAAACCATCCTCATCTACTGTATGAGGATCCCATTTTGTTATGATCACCTTTATTATGTACAAAAACACAGTAAACTATTGGTTTGCCCCCTACTGTCTTCCTTGACTTAGTTGACCACCTCAGCTCCTCTTTGTAACCTTTTAGTCCATTTAACACTATGCCTTAAGGTTAGTTAGGCTCTCTGATCTTTTGTACAATTACATGGTGAGTCAAAAATTATCCACACTCTGTCTATGGAATTTATTTTAATCAACTTTTAGAAAAGACAACTATATCATTCTTTGGCATAGTCTCCTTGATTTTCAATACACTTTGTCCATCTGTCAACAAGCATTCATATTTCCTTATTAAAAAATGTTTAGGCTGAGCTGTGAGCCATGAGTAGTACCACTGTTTTCACTTCTTCATCAGAAGTGAATCTTTGTCCTCAAAGGGTTGCTTTCAGGG